AAAAATTCATATTACTAGAATACATTGGTATCGAAGGAACTAGATTCTGTTCCGAAATATCACTTACTCGAACCGTCCTGACCGCGTGGCTCAGTTGGAAGAGCATTGGGCTAGTATTCCAAAGGTCGTAGGTTCGAATCCCACCGTGGCCGGGCATATTTTTCAAGCTCGCCCGGTGTGGATATGCACTCAGAGTAACATCACAAACATATTATTCACCTGAGTACACAACACCAGCGCAGAAAAAATTTAGACATTGTCCTCGCTCTGTTTACAACGCCAAATCACAGATTTTCACGTCTTAATACAACGGCTGCATTCCAAGCCGCAACAAGTGCAATTTCAAACTGCGTTTAGCAGAACTCTTCCCAACCATAAAACCCATGTCTTCAACTTCTAAAACTGTATTAAATTCATACGATTGATAATATATCACGAACAATCTTTACTACCATTTATTTGAAGCAGTTTGTTTTGGCCGTCACCGTCGCGTTGCCGTCCTAAAATCGTAAGGTCTCTATTTGTCGGGGAGGTCATACGAGAATTGATGAGAGTTCACATGAGGGTTTTCTCAACTCTCGTTCTCCGGTCTAAAGAGAACAAGAGTTGCATGAGAGTTGACTGGGTATTACCGCGCGCGTGGCGAAAACTCTCATCAAAATTCGAAGCATGCAGTTCCAAGTGACGAGAGTGCACGAGAATCAATGAGAGTTGGCGGTCAAATGCGACAGAGCGTGGCAATTTTCATCAACTCTCATCACCGTTTTATCGAGGCTTTACATGAGCTTTTATACCAGAGAATATTTACAGTATGTTTGTTTCCTGTAGTCAGAAAGTGTTGTGTATACAGTCACTGAATCTGTGACTCCACTTGAAGAATATCTAAAAGAAAATAGAAACGAACTCGAAATATCCTGGGGAATACATCAGATTGCGGTAGGTTTTTGTGACAGTTATAGCACAGAATAGGAAGTTATAGCAGAAGCGTAACTCTAGTCGTTTTCCTTATTGTTTGACGTCCACGAAAATTTTAACTCGCTCACGCCAATCCACGCCATCCTGGCTAGTACAGCCGGAAGTTTTTATCAGGTTTTGGTAGGTACAAAGTGCCGGTTGTACTAGCCAGGATGGCGTGATTGATGACGAATCGCTTGTAAAAACGCGGACAAATACTTGCTTGAGTTACGCTTCTGCTATACCTTCCTGTTCTGTGGTTGTAGAGAGGATTTTGTAGATGGAAATTTTGAATGTGAATTTTATACATTTATTTTGACCTAACCATGAACAGTTGTGAAGAATGCAACTACAGGGTGTATCAAAATAAACGCAATTCATCTTTTGTGCTTAATAACTTTCGAAATACTATTTCTAGTTAAACGCTTTTAGGCTTACTTCAAAGCCTGTTCTTTTCTCTTTCAAACAAACTATTATCCTTGTCTCCATGCAATGCTAGTAATAATTGCACAGGAAAAGATTTAGTAAAACCTATCATTTTTAGTTGCTGTTTAATTATGCAAGTTTACTATGTTATTGTTTAGTCGGTTTAAATGTTAGAATTTTCTTCTTTAAACTTTAATGTTGTCGTCACTACATCTGGAAAACCACGTAAGAACAAATTAAAAGTATTTTAAAAGAGACCAGGTTGTTTGAAAATCCTAAACGAATGCTAAAAATCGTTAAAACATTCTGGTGTCTGAGCCAGAGTGTCATCGAATTGCGATGTAATGTAAACAGAAATTATAGCAAGTTGATGTCAGTCAGCTTAGATGGTCCAAGCCAAAATTATATCGCATTTGAAGCTTAAAACTGAGTTAAAAATAGTGGAAGAAAAGCCGTAATTATACTTATTGTTACAATCCATTTAATAAAATGCAACATTTTTTTTGTTTTAATGAAAAAATCAGTTATTTTCATGAGAACGATTTGTTATTCCATCTCAATTTTTTTAATCTCCAATCGCAATAACGTAAAGTATTATTAGCCGCGAACCAATGAGTCAAATTTAAGAAACAACCCACTGTTAGAAAGCTGAATGGCTACGCTTTAAAATGAATGTAAACTTTAACGTTTTCGTCTATTATTTGTTTAGCAATTTACATTTTAGTCGAGGATTGCGCTTTTTTTTTATACACCCTGTATATAGGCCCTCTGGCAGGGATCGAACCTACGGGCCTGCGATTCCGGTGCAGCGCTCTAACCAACTTTTGTGACGATTACTTTTTTCCACCCATGGATTTTTTACTGACGAGTAAATTCATCGTGCATTGTACGAGCAGGCTAATGCTACCATTCTTCACATACGATCATTATGTACATTCGGAACCAAGACCCTTTCATAGTAGAGATGGATCTCCCGTCAAGATGCAACAGCCATCCTGTGGTTCATCTAATACCGTATTAGTCGACATTTACACATAAGCGACCTATCGTTTTATTGCCCAAATTCGTCCTGATTGGATCATGCACTTCTTATACAAGTTGAGCCAATGATTTTCAAAGTAGAAACTTAAATAAAGAAAGAGGCAAATCATAATTTTTAATGAGCGTATTAAAATTTAGAATTAATTTGTAATGAGAGTGCATTGATACAAACTCTTTTGCAGAAAAACGTTTAGCAAATATAGTTATAATTTCGATAAAAATGCAAGACTTGTAAGTGGCGTGTGACAGTGTATCTTTCATTTAGACTGCTTTAGATTTTCTCATAAACAACGGCGGCCTGGTTCATGGAAATATCTGCTTATCCTCCATATTTGTTGACCGCGGAGGGGAATGGAAACTAGGCGGAGTCGCTTACATCCAGCCTGCAACGCCCGCAAGTGGAGCAGACCTACACACCCTATCCCGGTTTCCGTGGATGCAGAAGTACGAACCACCCGAGGGGGTCTACGGCGGCAAGCTCAAAAAAAGAACCGAGAAATGGTCTGCCGATGTGTGGGGTCTTGGTTGCCTTATTTGGGAGATCTTTAATGGGCTTCTGCCCAAGTCTTCCTCACTGAAGTCTGTTGGTAAAATTCCTAGTAACTTACTGAGTCATTATGGCGAACTTGTGAGTGCCAATCCAAAGAGCAGACCAGATCCGGCTAAATTTATTACGCAATGTCGAGCCAAAGGGCAGTATCTTGCCAACAGCTTTGTCGACTCAAATTTGTTTCTAGCCGAAATACAGGTACAGACTACAGTACTTGACTACGTATTCTAGCCAGTGAGCCTAGCTCCATATATACATAGTTCAATTTAAGCAATTTAAAACATTCGAAAAACATTAATTGAAGCAATTTAAAACATTCGCAGTGCGTGTTTTATCAGACCTAAACTCTAAAGATACTCGGCTTCGCCTCGTATCTTTATATCTGATAAAACACTGCTGCTCATGTTTCAAATAGTACAAAAAGCATTCGCGTAATTAATTTTATTTTCCTGTAGATAAAGAACCAAGCAGAACAGAAAGAATTTTTCAAATCACTGAGCTCTCAACTTGATTCCTTTCCACAACAATATTGTAAATTGAAAATTCTACCATTGTTGCTGAATGCGTTCGAATATGGCTCAGCTGGTTCGACTGTTCTTGCTCCGTTATTCAAGGTAAACTGCATTTTATGAAAGAATGTGAAATTTTAAAAAAGCTTATTAACGTTAAACTGACTTGATTTACAGTACATGAATATCATGTATTAGAGATCGATGATCCGTCGAATGGTTTTCGCTTAGCATAATTTGTATATCTTCCTTTCTTGCGCTAAGTTCTTGCAACGGACTCATGTTAAAGTAGTCAGTCAATGCTCAGGTGCCGAAATTCGTGGGTTCTTTCCGGGCACTCCGGTTTCCTCCCACAGGGAAAGTTGGGAGGGATTGTTAGGATAAACACAGTTAGGAAAGTAATATCACAATTGTTGTAAAGATAAATAGCCTGGGCTAAGTAGGTATAATACAAGTAAGCGTCATGCTTGATGTAAACGGTCACTGAAAAGTCCCAATGTGGAGTGAGCTGAATAGTATATGATTTAAAATTTCAGATTGGTAAACTGCTTGAAGCAGAAGAGTACCAGCAAAGAATTGTTCCTTGTGTTGTGAAACTTTTCTCTTCGACAGACAGAGCGACCAGAATACAACTGTTGCAACAGGTAAGCTTAGCGTTCACTCAGATTTTAAAAGATTAAGCCTCGCGTACAGAAAAACGAGTTTTTCTTGACAAATTTACTTTCTGTGCCGTCAACATCGTTTCCTTGACAAATGTTGTTGCTGTGTGCACGGAATATTGTCAAACATTTATCTCACGTCAAGGCTTTCTTTTGTTTTCCAACCAGTAGCTTTCCTTGGCGGCCGTACTGACACGAACAAATTTTCCTTTTCCAAAAAGTAGCATGACCAATTTTGGAACAGTGCTTCTTGGCAAGGAAAAATTGTCAATTTTTTCCCGTACACACGAGCAAATAAAAGTTGTCAAGGAAAACGTTCTCAGCTTAAGACACTTTCTTTCGAGCCCTTTATCTTAATTATTTTATTTAAAAGTACACATGGTGCTGGAGATTAATGTATCTTTGTTTCAGTTGGACAACTTCGTACAGTATTTACAACCAGCTGTTGTGAATGATCAGATATTTCCGAATGTTGCGATGGGTTTTGGAGATACAGTGCCTGCCATGAGAGAGCATACGATTAAGGTGAGCTTCTTGTTGATGTGTGAAAGGCCCATTAGCGTACGGGGGGAGGGGGTTGCAGCCTTCCTCCCCCCAGCCAGTGTTGAAAATCTGGCAATTTGCTATGCATTCCCGCCTCAGAATAATGTTATATTCTGTCATGGTATTAATGTTGAAATACTAATATAAAAACTGAATGACAGATTGAAATTGATTTAATTAAATGTAAATACTCGTAAATACTGTAGTGGCTCTATATTTTATATTTATCGTTTTAAGACTGGCTATGTATTTCCCCGTGTCTGTATAGGAGCTCGTCATGTGTGACGTCATACGCAAATAGTCTATTAAAAGTTTACTTAATGCAAATTCTTGTGGATTTTTGTCACAGTCCATGCTTCTACTGACGCCAAAACTAAGTGAAAAGACAATAAACAACCAACTTCTGAAGTTCTTTGCCAAACTACAAATGGATGAACAGGTAGGTACAATATATTGAAACGAATTTATCCAAGCTATTATCATAATGTGCATCGTGATGTGACGGTCTGGAAGCTCGGAAAACTTTAAAACCACAAAAATAGAAGACCTTTGTTTGATGTTGAACTGTTCCTCACCGTGAACAAATCCTTTGCCATAACTTCATTAGGCGTAAAAAAATACCGGTGGTTCCAGTTCCCGACCGACCCTATTTTTTTCTGCCGACCCTATTATTTTTTCAACGCCTATTTTCTCCAGGTGGTTGCGGGCTGCTCGTACAGCGTGCAAAAATGGCGTCTGTTGTCACACTAATTATTGAACCAAATTGCCTAAATTCGTCCATAGGAAATACGCATCTCTAGTTAATATTGATGTCGGAACTCTACTGCAAATCGCTCAGCAAAAAAACGCCAAAACCATGAAAAAAATATTCAAAAAAAAAATTATTTCCGACCTACCGACCCTAATTTTTTCACGATATGAAACCGGAAGCACAGGGTTTTTTTTTACGCCTTAAGTATTATACATCGTGTTTGCACGTTTCATCTCAGCTATCCCTATCGGACAATGGACCTTTTCCCTTATAACTAAAATTTTGATCTGGACAAAAATTTCATCACAGCTTGAAAGAGCATCACAAAGTTAGTAATATTCCAAAGTTTCGTTGCGAAATGTTGTAAAATGCGGATAATATACTGTAGCCTTGCGAAATTTGCCGTTTTTCAGTCATTTTGTATTACGCATGGGAAATTGACAGCCCAATCGGGTGTTGGGGCATCAATTTCCCGTTTGTAACACAAAATGACTGAAAATTGCAAATTTTGCAAGGCTATATTATCCGCATTTTGCAACATTTCGCAACGAAACTTCGGAATATTACTAATTTTGTGATGCTCTTTCAAGCTGTGATGAAATTTTTATCTAGATCAAAATTTTAGTTATAAGGGGAAAGGTCCATTATACGAACTATACTCTACAATGAGCTGAATCACCTTGACCGTGCACAAATTAACATAAACTTAGACAGAAACATAACACATTGAGTTCCGTTCAGTTTCCAGACCATCATATCTTGACAGACTATTATAAATATATGTATCAATGTACGCATGCCAGCGCACTACAAATTTCCCATTTAATAGAATACTTGTCTTGTTTTTCTTGTTAGCCAAGTATTCGAACCAACACAACCGTATGTTTGGGAAAGATAGCACGTCATTTGCCTGAAGCAGTAAGTACATTCCTTTGACTAACATGAAGTACATGTATTAAACAGTATTACATGTGAATTGATAACCCCCTATTAAGTTGAGGTCACAATTGTAACCTCGTCACAATGGTCAGTGCAATTGTGCTTTTGGATTAATTCCTATGATATATCAGTGGTCTGATTTTACGTTCGGTAGATAGAACTATTTAGTATATTAAATAAAGCTAGTTTGGTTTTCTTCCTGTAGTAAAACTGGATTAATAAGAGACGTCCCTTACTAAACACCTAGGCAGAACAGCTTCAAATTGGTAGAAACTGTTTAGTACAGTATATTAAATAAAGCAAGTTTAGTTTTCCTCCTGTAGTAACACAGACTGGATTAGTGAAAGACGTCTTTTGCTTGATCTCTATAGGCAGAACATTCCGGAACTGATACTCTGATAGAGCCAGCATAGGGTACAAATGATTTAGTTGATGACTCAACACAATCTGCACAAGTTATTGCAACATTTGTTTGGCTCTTCGGACCTAACTTAAGGATTATATATTTTTTCTAGACACGTCAAAAAGTAATCGTGGCAGCATTCCTTCGTGCTTTGAGAGATCCCTTCCCTCCAGCCCGTATGGCGGGTATCAATGCATTGTGTGGAACGCTGGAGTTTACGGCGGCACAAGAATGCGCTACGAGAGTGCTGCCTGCTCTGTGTACCATGACTGTAGACCCTGATAAATCTGTAAGAGATCATGTGAGTATATAAGACTACTAATTATTTGCAGTTCTACGCGATATCATGGGCGGATTTACTGGGGGGAGTGGGTTAGGGGTGGTTAAACCCCCTTAGAATCTCACTAACCCCTCTAATAAAGTATTCAACCCCACCAAAATTTCTCTTCAACCCTCCTATTGTGTGAAAGGCTTTAACCCAAACGCTTAACCCTTGCCGAAGCTCACTGAGTAGTGCCGCTTGCACCCCACCAGAAATTTTTCTACCCCTCCTTTTTGCGCGATATAACACTTGACTTTTGATTTTTGCGGCTGCGTGTAGAAGCTATGCTGTTGAGAATACCATGCAGTTGACACCAAGTCCCCAAATATTGAATATTGATTTTCCAAACAATATATGGTCTCTGACGGGACTAGGCGTATGAAATAATGACAAGAATTCGCGAGAAAATAACTAGTAATTAAAAGCATAACAAAGCTAGGCATGTAGCGTGAGAAGTAATTTATACGCACGAAAGACCGATCGAACAACGATTAATCAGTAAACAAATCTACAGTACGCGCATACATTACAGTACGAGTATACAGTACACAAACAGAAGCTTATCTACAGGGGCGAAACTAGCCCCTTTTAATTCGGTGGATGTCTGCCAGATTTGCCCTGCCAAAACCGATGATGCCCTGCAGAAATTTTTATTTCTGGCCACTATTTTTCCTGAAAATGTTGGCGAACGGGGGAGGGGGGTGGAAAAAATTTTTCCGGACATTAAAAAAAGGGTCGAAAAATAAACCGAACACAAACCAGCTTAATTAAGGGTCAAAAAAATTTTTCCGTGCAAATTCCTGTTAAAACATGGGTGAAGCTCTTATTTTTGGACCAATATCTGTAAAATTTTGGTCTATAAATTCTATTCAATTCCCTCTGAAAGCCCTGTAAGTTGCTTAATAACTCTACATTCTATCATTAAAAATCTTTGATTGCCCTGCCAATCCAGATGATTTGCCCTGCCAGTCCAGACGATTCGTGTTTTTTTTTGGGGGTTTTTTTTGGGGGGGGGGGTGGTGTCACACTCCCATACCCCCCTTAAGTTTTGTCCCTGCTTATCTAGTAACTATAGGTTTACCTCCGTTCAGACGAGCTAGTTTTCCTCGACAACTTTACTTTCTTGTGTGTACGGAATATTGTTAAACATTTATCTACGTAAAGGCCACCTTTTGTATTTCTTGTACGAACACATTTTCCTTGTCCAAAAGTTGGTGCGACTCGCTACGGAACAAGGCTTTTTGGAAAGGAAAGATGGTCAATTTTTGCCGTACAAACTTGTCAAGGAAATCCTGCTAGGCTGTACAAGGCTTTAGGATGGATATAATCAAAATTAAACACGGAAAATGAATTACATAAGTTAGGTACCCCATTAATTCACGTCAATTCACATTATAACCTATGTTTTTAATTTACAGTGTTTCAAAGCGGTACGCCTAATTTTAAGCAAGGTCGAGAAACATTCTGAAGAAATTGCTGCAAAAGAAAATACTTCTAGTAAGTTATCAAGTTAAATATTGCCATACAATGAATATATTTGTTCAACCTGATTTTAATTAATATTCTAATTATTGATAAGTCAGTCATTCTAATACACAGACTTAATGAATGATATTAAATGTTTCAGACGAATCTCCGTCATCAACCGAGGAACCTGGAACTACATCCGGGACGTGGACTGGATGGGCAATGAGTTCAATATCGTCGAAGTTTTATAAAGGAGGAAGTGCATCAGGTGACGTTCCTGAGAAGGAAACTACGTCAGCACCACAACCACAGCATGTCAAAAGTAAGTGCAGGGAACAGAGAGTAGACATTTTAATTTTCAACATGCGAACAGGCATACCCTGCCTTACGAAATTAGGGAATTCATTACGGCCTGCGGAGCAGGAAGGAGAGTCGATGAGAGGATATCATGCCCGGGTCGAACGATAACAAGAGTTGTGCGAGAGTTTTTACAGGATGATTACCGGTGAAACGAACAAAACAACTAAATTAAACTCACCTTGGGTTTCACTACGGCATTATGCAGTGAATCTGACGGGGGTGGGGGTCACCCTTAAATGTGTTAATGTTTACTCTGATAACTGTGTTTTGTTGAGTTGACCCCCCGTCATTTCTGTGACGTCATATGAAACCCAAGAATAAGAAAGCTTCGGATTGATAGGGATGCAATTACTTGAATAATACAAGGAGAACTAATGCAGTACAAGGAGGATTTTATATATACTGGATAGCTCTATCAGTTCTAAGCTGTTCTCTCATAGAGGTCCAGCAAGGCTTCCCTTATTGGTCCAGCTAGTGTTTCTAAAAGAGGACACCGGGGTCTTTACTTTTATTATTTTAAGGTACGTCGAACTCGGATCGTAACACACGCAATACTACCACTGCTGTAGCAAACCACGCCCGCGATAAAGAAAGTCAGTTAGACGCAAACTCGGACAGTGATTATGAAGGGGATGAGTGGGGTGAAGAGGGGTGGCAGGAGGATGATGAATGGGGTAACGAGAAGGTATGTAGGTATATTGTTTTTACACAAGACAAATTTACATGGATGTTTTTGGACTTCTTGTTCTCGTCAATTTTTTCTTACAATAGGTGATTCCAGCTTTTAAATTATGCACGCAGGGGGTGGTGGGAAGTAAGGTATCATATTGCTGATTATCCTGAAAAATTTCAATAAACTGCCGAAACAACCGAAATATTTCAATATTTACAAGTATAAGCTGTCACTCCGTGTTTACACGGCCGCCATTTTTATTTTTCAACATAATCAGCAGTATGATACCTTACTTCCCATTCTCCCCATGCACGCATAAACTAAAAGCTGGAATTGCCTATTTGCAGTGATAAATTTGTTCACTCTATTTCATTCAGGATTCATTGAGCAGTGTTAAGAAAGACCTTGTTGCAGCCAGAAATGAACTTACTTCCGTCATAAGTCACGATGAACCTGGGGTAAGGATTACTTTTGTATTCCAAACTATTCTATATTTAACAAATGTAAAACAGTTTCCTGGAAAGTCTTTCCTTTCTTCAGGAAACAGACTCTGTGAATGAAGATGAAGATAGTGACAGCGACTTCGGAGACTGGGACCAAGACAACTGGGGTAATAGTAATAAATTGACAACGCAAACGAAAAATGTGAAGTCGCCAGCGACCAGTTCACAGGTAAGGAGTGCCTTGAGTTTATATAACTTATGGTAGGACTAGGTAGACGAGATAGCTCTATCGTACTGAGTTATGTCTAAACTATTCTAACCACAGTATTAGTACATGAGGAAACCGTGGTATTCGGAGAAAACTTGAGTTGTTTGATAAAGTCAAACTGGAAACAGCAATCCTTATAGGAAGTACAGCTACCTGAAAAATATAAGCAGAACTTTGACGTTTCGGACGAAAGCCCTTCCCGAGTGAAGACCCTTCCCAAATGAAGGCTCAAAAGGCTTTGAGCGAAGGCCTTAAAGATTTCTGTTTGTTCTCATCGCTCCCTACGCTGGCACAGACCACTCTTAGCCTGCTCGCAGCCTGAAATTTAGAAGGGGGAAATATTTCCCCTTCTAAATTTCAGGCTGCGGGCAGGCTAAGACCACTCAAGATTAATTAAAACTAGAAACATTCTTCTTGCATGCAACTGAGGTGAAATTATCATTGGGCAACTGCATGTTGCCAGAAACAAACCCAGACGTAGAGGTCACCGTCAAACCACTTACACTGTGCCGCCATGGTAGCCAGTACCTATATGAACAGATTTATGATTGGTTGATTATGACAATAAAAGACAGTAAACTATAGAAATGATATTTCTAATGAACAAGTTATAAAACCAGAAAATGTGGTCATGATCCCAGTCAAGAGGTTATGTTTTCATTTGTGTGTCTGTCTGTGTGTATTTGTCTGTTAGCACGATAACTTAAAAATTATCAAATTTGTTGATACGAAAAACAAATTGATTAAATTTTGGGCAAATTTGGATGAAAATTGAATGAGAAATTAGCGAAATTTTGTCTTGCTTTGCTGGGCAGAGTAAACAGAATACATAACTAGCCCATTGCATAATTTATGAATGATACATAATTTATTTTCTGGCGGAGGTATGCTGTCTCTGGCGGAGGTATTTGCCGCGTCACACGAATTTCAATTCTAATCCAAGCTATTCCTTTAGTCTAAAGCAAGGAATGAAAAGTCAACAACGGGTGCACTAAAGCTATCAAGCAGTAAGAAAAAATCCGGTGTAAATGAAGACGACCTATTATCAGAACTGATGTCGGATACAATTCAAAACAAACCAGTGAGCCAAGGCTCTGCATGGGATACAGACTGGAATGACATGAAGGATAGTTTTGTACAAGACGACAATTGGACGCAAAGTTTCTTTCAACAAGAAACTAAAACCAATATAGAGAAGGTTTGGTTTGCGCATGTTATTTCTGTATAGTTTTTTGTGCTTGTCCGGTAGGTAGTATTTTTCTAGTTTTGTTTTACGGACTATTTTGCCCTTCCCCATTGTTGTTGCGCTTGAATCTTTCGACGTTTTCTCAAATCGTCCCCCGTTTGCTTGCAAAAAATGCAGAAACAAAAAAAAATGCAGAAAAAAATGCAGAAAGAAAAATGCAGAAACGTACTTTGTTTCCAAGATTTGATTTTTGTTGGGGAAACCACTGTTTTTTAATTCGCCCACCATCGAGAAACATGGCTAGTAAACAATGTTTCCCCATCATGTGTTTGCCATTTCGCCCAGGGCTTAGTTCACATGCTTTCTAGGCTGGAAGAATATAAGATGATGCAAAAGATAATGCGTTTCTTTCCTTGAAACGCTGTTCTTACTGTGACAGTGTTTCCTATTTCCTATTTAGAGTACGAAGAAATTTGGTAGTTCTCCGAAAACATCTAAAAAATCCACAAACCAAACAGAAGACACTAAAAAAAGCAAAACAGCTGCTAAAACTCGCCCTAAACAAGGAAGACCGACTACAAACAAGACATCTCATTCATCAGATGGTTGGGGTGAAGACGATTGGGCGCCTCTAGAGGACTCGGCACAAGTAGCTACCAGTTTCAGCTCGGTTTCTCTGGCGGACATGGGGAACGCTGGGACAGCAGGTGATAGCTGGGACACTGAGGGATGGGATAATTTTGATAGTATTGAAGACAGTAAACAAAGTAATGCTGATATAGCGAGGAAAAAACGGGAAGAAAGAAAGAAACAGAGGCAACAAGCTTTAAAAGAGAAACGAGCTGCTAAAGGGGGATCCAAATTGGGGGCTGTCAAAAAAGATCAATTTTGAGGGTTTGAATAGATGGGCTTTCACTTCTTAGCAAAACAATTTTTTAATTTGAAATGCCATTTAGCATTCGTCAACAATACCATGCGCGCCGTTTCTTTTACAGTAAAGGTCTGTGTGTAGACCGAGTTACCCCGGCAGGACAAAAAACACAAAAGTTTTAACGGAACAACAAAATTATTTTTGAAACAACTAAACGCAGATACCCAACTAGGGCGTTAACACAGCAGGCTTTATAAATATCGGGCAGGCAAGCTTTTTATTTGCAGGCTACAATACGGTGAATGCGAATCGAGCTTTTTGCCGCGGGAATAAATATATTGGTATTTATATGATAAAATCAAGGTATAGAATTATGTAGAATTTATATTATCTATAATCGTAAGTTAATTTAAGAAAATGTTTTAATTGTGTAACAAATGTCTGTACTGTGAATTATTTGTGATTTTCGTAGTCATAGTTTGTTACGTTCTTATACACAACAGTACTTTGTGAATCAATCCGGGAAGTAATCATTAATCAAGCCTGGTTTATATCAGTAAACTCTATATGTAAAGGCTGTTTCCACTATCAAAGTTTTTGTGATCACAGTAGGAATTTTGCATATATAAATTCTAAGTTTTGAAGGATTTGTGAGAAATTTTTGAGGGAACTGACTCAGTGTTAAACACCGAGTCAGTTCCCTCAAACATTTCTTACAAATCCTTCAAAACTTAGAATTTACCTATGCAAAATTCCTACTGTGATCACAGTATCTTTGATAATAGAAACCAGCCTTACATGTAAGAGTCTATAGAGTTCATTATTCATTAAAAAGTCACGATTTTCTTCAAACCAGAGGTGTATTCTCTTCAGCTGTCGAAGTCTCGTCATCTGCCTCTACAACTGGTCCATCCACTTGGTCATCATTAGTTTCACTTTCTTTTGTTGTAGAATCGTCCATGGACGACAGTTTTCCACCATCACCAATAGACACCATTACTTCGGCTTGATTATCTTCTGCCTTATTGTTGTTGTCATCCTCTGCAAATAACGTAAGCTCGGACGCTGCCGTATTGGTTTCTGATGAAATTTGTTGCGTATGATTTTCTTCGCTTCTCTCTGCATCAAGAAGCTTGTCATTTTCATTACCTACTGCATCTTCTTTCATTGCTTTTGTTTGAGAAATGTCTTTATTTTCTACTATTGTTGCTGCTGTAGTTGATATGAAGCTAGTACTTTGTCGAACATCACCATGCAATTCATACCCCGTATTCTTGCTCTCTGCCTGACACGCATTTACTGTGTGTGGATTCTGTCCACGCGATTTCACATTTGGCTCTGGCGGACTAAGACTCTGTTCTGTCGATGGTCCAGTTTCACTCACAATAAGAGGTTTGTCTTCTTGTGTCCATTCTTCATTTAAACATTCGACGTCGTTTTCTTTTGGACAACTGTCTTCGCTATTTGATCCCTCGTGTTCGACGCTATTCAAATCAAGGTGGTTGTCGGTAATTTCCGATTGTATATTCGCAATCACTGGTTTGTCTTCCTGTTCGCATTCGTTTGCCAAACATTCCTTTTCCTCTTTGGAGTAACGGTCCTTTGACTGTGTAGAACCTTTTCCATTCATTCCCGCAATATCTTGGGGATTATCAAATTGTTTTTGCTGACTGTTGTCTATCACTGAAGATAAAGTTTTATCTGTTGTTTCTTCACACTGGTTCTCTCTCAGGTCCTTGTTGTACTCCAGTGATGTGTCCTTGATAATCTTGTCCTGCCGTCCCAAAATTTTGACCTTGTCTTCATTTGTGTCTTGTTTGTCAAGCAATGCTGTTGTGTCTTCATTGGTGCTACTAGCTTCGGGCTTATTCTTTTTCTTGCTAGCTGTTCGTGGTCTGGTTTGTTGAGCGTTTTTGATATTGGCATCCTCTGGTGTTTTATTGTTTGCATGGTCATGTACGTTCACTAGTGCGAAAGGGTTTCCACTTGTGGAATTGTGATGTTCTACTGGAACCGTGTATTCTGACAGCTAGACAAGGATAGGAATGATATGTTTTTGGAAGTAAGTTGTAAATACAGTCACAATCTTGCGGACACCTCTCGTAAGCGGACATGCACTATTCTAGGGTCCTGGACAAACATGTATATATATTATTTTAAAACTACGTTTACGATTTCCCTTAATTAAGCGTGAGACATTCAACTGTTTTACCTTTCGTACTGTGCTGGAAACATGTCCTTGGTCAACACTCCTGTTGCATTGCAGTAACTCAACTGCCAGCATACAGTCTTTTTTGTATCTCATCTAGAAATATAGCAAATGATTAAGAGGAATTTTTTGTATGTTAACACGAGCTCAAAACCATGATGAGTTTTAAAAACATTTTAGATTTTGAACACTTTATTGTAAATACATGACATTAGCAACGCTCAGGGCATATGGGACGTAATATATCAAATCCAACTATGAGGACTTTGCCAGATGGTGCGAATCAGTCCAAGGAGTGGATTCGATCCAGTCCAAGGAGTGGATCAATAAACCTCATCAGATATCCAGTATCATCATGTAATCAAAATTAATAATTCATGAAGAAAACACAAAGAAAAATCATAAGCGTATCTGTATATGTGATACAGATTCATGTTGGTTTACATAAACTTTAACTTTGATTTTCTCGGCTTAGGCAACGTTTATTTTTAAAATTACTTCGCCAATGAACTCATAAGATGAGTCGTTTTTTAAGCCATTTATAACATTCGCGTCCGTGTTGTATCGGATATACAAACTCTCGCCTTCGGCTCGAGTTTGTATCATAGATATCTTATATCTATGGTTTGTATATCCGATACAACACGGCCGCTCATGTTGTAAATAGTACTAATGCAATATGGTTGGCTATTTGTTTGAGTCTTTGAGATATATTATGTCCCATATGCGCTGAGCAGACCTTGAGCATTGGCGCGTCGCACTGACATATACTTGTTAGTTTTCCAACATTCCAACAACCTTGTTCCCGGACACCCTCCTCTGGCGTAGAGCCTGGAAACGAGTTTGGTTTTCTAACAAAAACAGTAAACGCTTCGGCTATATAATGCTTTTGCCGGAAGCTGTGTACTGACTAGTTAATTTCCATCACGTTTGAGAGCGTTGCAGTTAAATATTTTGATTTATATACTTCAAAAATCTTACATTCTCCACTTCTAGTTTATTAATCATCTCTCGTGATTCCATCAAACGTTCTGTCAAAGTTTGAACAATTTTTCGCGAGTTCTCCTTTTCTTTTTGCAACTCTTGAGTCTGAAAAAAGCAATTTAGATCTACGGTTAAAGGCAGTTTTAGCGGCTTAGAATATCGACGGTGCGAGCTCCCGCCTCAATGTAATGCAGAATTAGTTTAAAGGCAAAAATATTTTCTCGTGAAAACGTTTCAAATGGCGAAATCGTCAAGCACTTGCCACCTCCTCTGAGATCGTGGGTTTAGTCCTCGCTACAGACCCATATGACACTTACGTGAAAAGTGTCGGCCGACGCTCTACCAAAAATAATGCGTTTTTTCCGATTCTCCGGTTTCTTCCCACAGGTAATGTTGCTAGAGTGAGTTGTTATTACTTCAAACTGACCCTTGCTGACCTTTGCTGTATATTATGATATAATATCCTTCTTTTGTAAATAGTATATACTTTAATAAACTTACTTCAACAATTACTCTTCACTGTAAATATATATGCAAATTTTTTTACAAACCTAACTAGTGGCCTACATTAAAAAGCCTGTAAAGGTCTCCAGTAGGTCTCTAGCCCAACACTTTCAAACTACACATAGTTTTGTTACTTATTATTGTACACATGGGAAATAAACATATGATTGATTGATTGACCCTTCCACCACCGTAGCTGTACTCCTGTGGCTGCTAGAGGCGACGTCGGCCGACGCTCTACCAAAAATAGTGCGTTTTTTACGATTCTCCGTTTTTTTCCCACTGGGAATGTTGCTAGAGTGAGTTGTTATTACTTCAAACCATATGTTCAAACTGACCCTTCCACCACCGTAGCTGTGCTCCGGTGGCTGCTAGAGGCGCCTTCAACTGAATCAAATCAGATTGAGTTGCGTAATTCAGGTAAACTCTCAGCTGCAAGTTAGGACTGATTAGCACCAGACCCGGAGCTAGGGGAGGGGGGGGGGTAGCGGTTGGGGGATGGGAAGCTTTCATCGATAATATGTGGTCGGTACAAGCTCTTCAGTCGATCGGAAATGATCTTATCTCCCCCCCTGAAAAATTTCCTGAGGACGGCCCTGATTAGCACCATATGTTAGCACACAAAGGACAGCACGCGGCCTATGTAAATGATCGCATCGAACATCACATGACACGTAAACAGTACAATGTAGCGTACTAGCGTTTTAGATCATTGTTCAAATACGACTACTAAGAATACTTTGTTATCATAGACATCATAAACGTTGCAGGATCTTACCGTATAAAGCAGCATTTCTTCAAGATCTTGATTTTTTTTCGTGACTTCCTGTAGATGTTCTTTAACCCTGCAACTCAAGCACGATAATTTGTTAAGGAAACAAGATTTTCCCACTGAATATAGATTAAATTCCATTTTTGGATGGGGTTAAGCAGGTCAAGCTCATAAAGTCGGATCAGGCCAAGGTAAACCAATTAATTAAGGTCCCCGAAGGTGCACGCCGGGTATCCCCGTAGTTAAAGGCGGGCGCGGATTCGCGGACGCCGACTGGCGGAAAAATATTTATTTTAAAATTGTTGAAAATAATTTCAAAGAACAAATAAAAACAATAACAGTTTTAAAATGTATATATCACCTATCGAAAAAGTGCTGCGTTTATGTGTCTTGTATTAAGCTCCTGTTAAGCTAGAATGAGAGTTGAGAAGCGAGAGTTTGCACGAGAGTTGACAAGAGTCATGAGACAACTTTCGGTCGCGTTTGCCGTCTGCAACATTCATCTAATGCACTCTCATCAACAATAAGAGTTGACGAGAGTTTCAGCTCGTTTGACCAGTAATATCTAGGTGACTCTCGTCGACTTTCATGCAACCCTCGTTCTCGTTTTGCCAGGGCATGACAAGTTTAGAAAACTCTCATGCAAGTTTCATGTTTCATCAACTCTCATCCTCGATTGAACAGCGTTTTGATTCAGTATGGTCGAACACTAACCTTTCAAGCTCTTCTTTGTTGCCATGATGTCCCACTACATGCTCAGATGCTTGATTACCAGAAGCCATATTGAGATCTTTCTAGGTTAAACATGTACCGAGTCACATGAGAAGATTTGTAAATTCTTACGTTTTAATATTGAAACTTGAGTCAGGGCGATTGTTGCCAAAATCTTGCGATCATGCACATCGCAGAGATGGGTTGCAACTTTCGCAATGAATGATTCCAGATATAGTCGAAATTTTGATCTAGACAAGAAGAACGAAATACATTACCATAGCTGGAAAGAGCATCATAAAATGAGTAAAATTGAAACATTTGGTTGCGAATTGTTGTAAAATGAGGAAAATATAGCCGTGTGAAGTTCGCAAATTTTGTATATGATTTGCATTACGCGCGGGGAAAATAACCAATTTTGACCATATCGCAAAATTTGCGAACTTCACAGGGCTATATTTTCTTCATTTTACAACATTTAGCAACCAATCTCTGCAGTTTTACTCATTCCAAGACGCTCTTTGTAGCTGTTATGTTGGATTTCGTTCTTCTTGCCTTGATAAAAATTTAGTCTATAGCTGGAATCACCCATATATTGCCCATTGGGATTGGACCAGATTGGTCAAGACTTCAGGTACTATAACAGAAGTAGTGCAGTCCCATAACATCGTCACAATTGTCATTGAAAGTGGTTATGCTCAAAAAGTCCAGCATGACTGAACAATTTAACCTCGCCTAAGTTTTTCTCAATGAACTTTGTGCCTCTGGCACAAATACAATTATATTTTAAAGGAAGTATCGATTTAATACAAACTGTACAAGTATTTTCACGGCTGAAATATGGACTTGTCATGTGTGGAATATGGACTCATGTGAACAGACTGGAGCCAGACTCATGTGAAAAAGAGTCAGTCAACACTGTGCCGAAACTGTCGTGGGTTACAGTTAAGAAAATAGTATTACAATTGTTGTAAATATAAAATAGTCAAATAGGCAAATATGTAATTAGGTATAAAGCGTACAGTATAATAGTGATGTAAGGCGCATTTGATCATATCCATGCACATGTCAATTTCCGCTATAGAAATGCTAATCGTAAACGTAGTCCAGACGTGAATATTATGGAGTATTGAATTTACAAGTGCAAACTTGTGCTTGTTTAAGTTGCACAGGTGGCGCTTCACCAGACCACATCGAGCTCACGTGATTGATATCACTGATATATTCATTTCGTGACAATTTTCCATATTAAACACTGACATCTTTTTTATCTTTCGTAAGATATGTGAGTTGGAAAAATATCATCTAAATGAATCGTAGATGCTCACAAAGTTCACAAGTTTTTAACTCGCTTCGGCTTGCTTTTATACTGAACTGCAAGCTATTCAGATAGCATACTGTGTAGGTTATCATTAGACATTAGTCATAGGGGCTGTTCACACTAGCAATTTAGATCGATCAAAAAGCGATCTCAGTCCGTATCGGGCCAAGTGAGGACAGCCCAAAACGAACCGAGATCGAATCGAGATCGAATTAAACTAGACCACCTCGGGAGGTGGTCTCGGATCAGTTCGCGCATTTAGACCGAGCTAGTTTTGGTGCTTAGCTGCCTGGCAAATTTTCGCGCGTTTTTTCTCCAGAGTTTTGATCGAAATTGTTCGACTGCCATTTTTGTTGTTCGTCGAAGTTCTGCAAAATAATCTAGCTTTACCATGGCTAAACGAGGAGAAACCTGGAGTGATGATGAAGTATTAGCATTAATATCGATTTGGAGTCAAGAATCAATTTTAAAGATGCTGGCAACATCACG